GGCTATTTTAACGACCTGTTTTCTGACCTTTTTTTTTTTTAAAAAAAAAATGGGGGATGTTTTTGCCTTCGCCCAGCCCTGCTGAAGCCTGCAGGATGCTCCTGGGGTCTGGGGAGGACAAAAACTTTTTTTCTTACCTCTTCGAAATCTTGGTGCATCTTATATACCGGTGCGTTTTATAGTCTGAAAAATACAGTAGTTAAAATAGCCATTTCTTCTTTTCATGGAAGCAGAAAGAAATAGAAAAAAAGGCTTTTCCATACTATTTCAGAAGTGAGAAACGTTCTCATTTATTGTTGAAATCACCTAGAAAGGTCAGAATGAGGCTGTTGAATTAATCAAATACAAACGAGCTTCTAAAACAATCTCCCTGTTATTTTCAGTATATTTGAGATACTATACATACTAAGTATGTAAAATAGCAGGAGTTATTTTGCCAAATCTCTAACTGCATTCTCCTTAAGCAGTGATTGTGACTTGTGATTGTTATCACTGATGGCCCAGCAGCAATAGTAATTTACATGTGCAAGTTGTGCATATGCTTTGAGTTTCAATGAAATATCTTTCTGTTTGCTGGAGGACAACCTTGTGTGGACATATGTAGAGATTGTATTCGTACTGTATTAGATTTCTTAAATCCAAATGTAAATCCAAAAACGAGAAAAGAGTTTTGCCGTAAAACCTTCCTGATTATAGCATGTAAGCCTTTGATACAATAAATATTTTAAATAATGCAAGTTTAATTTTGGATAAATTTATGAGGTATTAAGATTTGTCTTATAGTTAGGATGTATCATTTCAGTGGCTATGTGAAGTCTGCATCTTGGGAAAGTTGTGGTAGAGAGGGAAGAATGTGGTTTTTGGAGTTAACTATGAAACTGTCGACTTGTGACCACAATTGATCCCCAAATTTCTGTTGCTACGTAAGACTTTTGCTAAGTGAATTTTGTTCTATTTTATGACATTTCTTGCTGCAGTTGTTAAGTGAATCACTGCAATTGTTAAGTAAGTAGCACAATTGTTAGGAGAATCTGGCTTCTCCATTGAATTCGCTTGTCAAAAGGTGATCACATGGTCCTGGAATGCTTCAACCGTCATTAATGTGGGTCAGTGGTCATGTATCCAAAGGTAAATCACGTGACCATGGGGATGCTGCAATGGTCATAAGTGTGAAAATGGTCATAAGTCATTTTTTCCAGAACCATTGTAACTTCAGACATCACTAAATGAACTGTTATAATTTTCAAGGCTGCCTGTAGTCTGCATGTTTTAGTGTGTATGTTCTAGCATACATTCTAGCATTCTCAGTTTTCTAAGGCAAACCAATCTGTACTCTTAATTTCTGCCTTTACAACTGGAATAAAATTTTACAGGATAAACTGGGATGTTATGTGGATGAGTATCTTCTTTTCAAATGGTTGGGAGGTTAGGGAGTTAGTGCAAGGTGATCAGTTAATTATGAGTTCCATAAAAAAAAAGTCTCGGATGGATCCCCCCCCCGGCTCCCAAAATTCAATCCATATAATAGCCATATAGGGAAAATGTAGCAAATTATCTCTCTTTTGAAGCCACTTCCTTCTGTGCAGACAGATTGTGTATTAACTACAGATCTGATCGATTGGGTCATTTTAAACATCAAGGATCAGTTTCCTTGATGTGACTAAGCCTTGTTACTCAGGGTTCCATGGAAAGGAGCCAGCAAAATGCCATCTTCCCTTCCTCCATCCCTTCCACAAATTAATTTTGTTCCATACTTATCACACTAAATCAATATCTGGCAGAGGAGGAAAACAGAGCTTTTTCGTGGCTGGAGTGTCTTGCTAAGCTTTTCATAGCTGTTGCTGGGGTGGGGGGTGGGTGGGGGGGGGGGTTTTAATTTATTTGATTCTTTTTATTAGTTTTACTGTTTTAAATGTGATTTTATATTCTGTAAGCCTGGTTGAGTCGCCACAGGCGAATAGGCGGCAATATAAATTCAATAAATAAACACTGATACTGTTTATGTGAATTGAGGATGGTTCTTGACTTTTTAAGCTAATGCACTGCTTCTTTAAGGATCCAAGCTGAAAACGGAGTCAATGCGCCTAGTTATGGTATAATAATCTTTCTAATCATTGTTCTTTCTCTCTCTCTCTCTCCTCCTCAGGGGCCAACAAATATGATGAAGCTGCAGGCTATATTCAGAGCAAGTTTGAGGAGTTGAACAAGAGAAGGGACACCAAGGAGATCTACCCCCACTTCACTTGTGCCACTGATACCAAGAATGTGCAGTTTGTCTTTGATGCTGTCACCGATGTCATCATCAAAAACAACCTGAAGGACTGTGGGCTCTTTTAGCTCTTCAGATGGCATCTACTGAGGAAGATAGAAAGGTGAGGCATTGTTAGAATAATGAGACAGTTTAAGGCTACTTGTGATGAATAATCACACTTGGAAACTTTAAAACAGATATCTGTGCCAGTTTCCGGAAAGCAAGACTGGATGCACTTATCTGAAGTGTCTCAGGGAATATACAAGTCTAATTGGATGCAGGGGACTAATACTTTCCATGTCATCATTGATATTCACTGAGTATAAAAATATGCAGTGGAGATCATGGCTTTCTGGATATAAGATGGGTTTTCGTATCTGACAAAGTCCATCGTCAAAATGTAGATCGTATTTGTGTAGTGGTTATGTTAATTTGGATTTGTCTAAACCACTATGAACCACAAAGCCTTACTAAAATACCCATGATTCGGGGGTTAATGATTCAAGATTCCAGCTTACATTAGCAACTATTTTTAGAGACTAAAAATTAGAGACTTCAGAGACTAAATAAGTATATATGCAGGGCAGAGTGAATGCCATACTGGATGTGATGTGTTTTTGTGTGTACCTTAGAGATATCCCGCTCTCTTGCTTAGACAAGTAGTATATAGCAGACCACTTCAGGCCTGAGCCTTCCTTTGAATGCTCTTAGGAATATCCAAATCTTATATTTTAGGAACCAAGAATTCCAGGAGAAAAGAAGTCCTCGAAACCAAAGTGATCTAAGCTATTCCAGGAATTTTTTTTAGAAGTTTCCAAGTGTAGTTGAAATACTTCCCTTTCTGGAAAGCTTGTTTTCAGGACAATGTTGAGCCTGTCATGGAACAACTGGATTGGCTTAATCCAAATCAAAATGGAACTTTCTGGAATCCCCAGAAGGCACTCTTGTCTCCAAATACAGAGTTTTGTAACTCCAGGGTCTTCTGTAAGTGTATGTGAACTTCCTTTTGCTCTTCCCACTGCAGGATACTTGAACTGCTCCATATGAGGAAGAGGCTGGTGTTGATGAAGGGAGGACTGCATCATTTAACAACTTTTGCTTCTTAAGTTTTGTTCCATTCCTTTAAATATTCCTAATGATGAGACTTTGGCAATTCTTCCTGTCCAAAGGACAGGACCCATTGTTTCCCCTGCTCTGTGCTGTCTAGGTGCCTCCTGCAGGCTGTTTGTCTTCTCCCTATGCCCACAAAGCCTTACTAAAGTACCAATGATTGGTTTACTTGCCATAGTTGTAACATTTCCATATATGCCCCTTTCTTCTCTTTCTTTAAATGAAAACCAGATGGTAGCAAGTGAGAGGGCTTTGGATATGTTTGCCATGATCTTTACCTTCTTTTTTAAGAGACAAGGTGGGTTTTCGGGGCGTTTCCCCCCCTTTTTGCTTTATTTTTGTCCAAGCAACTTTCTGTCTGGCCCTGCCAAAAAAGCATTCTACAGTCCATTTGGTTTTTTTTCAACCTTCCATCAAGTGGAGCTCTTGCCATGGAGCAAGTTTTTTAGCTCCTACCTCTGTAATTTGCACAGACCAGCAAAAAAAACAAAAACCAAACACATTCCTTAAGAATCAATTTGTGCAGGAAAAGCTGGTCTATTGTTTTATAAGAAACGCTTTTTAAAAAAAACCGTATTTAAAATGTCCAGTAGTAAATGGTCGAGTTGCCCAGTATGAGCTCATCTTCTCTAGTAAATTTGTGCCTTGAGGGTGTCTGTATGTTTACATCTGTTCCTTAGTTTGCTTCAACGTGCATTGTGCTTAGAATAGAATAACAGTGGGTTCTTTCCCCTGTTTTCCAGCCCTTCTCTCCCTTTTTTGCTGTGGACCAGGGCAAGCTTTTTATGAGGGGGCAGTGCCCGTGCATTAAAACGTGTTTCTTCCTGGCCACAGAATTAGGCTCCTAAGGGCTAAGATTCCACTAAGCAATGTCAAACTTCTTTCCATTCCTTTGTGCCCCACCCCAGGGCCTGAGGGTGCAGCTGAGATTGCTGTATAAAGTCAGGTCTATTTTCATGTCTTTTTCTTAGCTCTAACTGTAGTGTCAGCTGAAGAAACGCTGCTGTATGTAAAGCGGTCCTGCCTGCTGTGCAATTGAACGGCACTGGGCCATTAGTAACCGTCAGACGCAGCCTAGCTTTTATCACGTTTTACCAAATTGTTCACATGGTTTGAAATAATAAAAAGTAGAAAGAAAGCCTGCTTTGAAGTGTGTTGCTTTTCTTCCATCGTTCCAAATATATTTGAGCGTGGTATTTCACGGTGGGTTTTAATGATCGGATGATTTTCCTTGGCTCATGATACAGGTTTGTTAGCTTCTCCGAGGCTTTAAAAAAAAACAACCTTGTAGATTTCTTTGACTGCAGCTGCAAGCTCATTGGATATTATGATTGAGGTACATGGGAGATGTAGCCCAAAACACCTTAAAAAAAAACCACCACATTGCACAAGCTCTCTTTATAAAGTTGAAACATCCCTATTTTGGAAACATACTATCTTTTACCCCATATGTTTGGTCCTTCTAAAGGGTTTTGTGGCCTGAGTGAGTGCTTGTTTTTTCCCCTCCTGAAATACGCAAACATGAACAGAATGCCCCACAAGGCTGAAAGGGAAAATATAAGTTATGAATAATAACTAACTACAGAAAAAGGGAAATGTGTTATAATCTTCGAATATAGTTTTTCCCTAAATACATATAGTGGCATATTTCAATATTTCGCTTCCAATATTTGAGGGTCTGCCACAAGAAAGAGGGTGTTCCCCAAAGCACCTGAAAGCCAGGCAAGAAGCAATGGATGGAAACTAATCAAGGCAAGAACCAACATAGAACTAAGAAATGACAGTTCTGACAGAACAATCAGTGAAACGATTTGCCTCCAGAAGTTGTGGTTGCCCCAACACAAGATTATTAACAACATATTGTTCAGCCATTTGTCTGAAATGATATAGGGCCATGATGACGAACCTATGGCACGCATGGCAGAGGTGGTACACAAAGTCCTTTCTCTGGGCACGCACACCATCACTAGCTGCTCTTCTGGTTTCCGGTACGTGCATGTGCGCAGGAAAGATGGTCTTCACATGCACCGGAAACCAAAAGAACAGCTGGCCAGTGCGCATATGGATGCCAAAAACCCAAAGACCAGCTAGCTGGCATGCATGCGTGAGCCAGAAACCAGAAGATCAGGTGACCGGCAGGTACATGCATACCAGCCAGCTGGTCTTTGAGTTTCCGGGGCTGTGGCGTGCAAGCACACATGTTCTGGTTTGGGCACTCTGTGCCGAAAAGATTTGCCATCATTGATACAGGGTTTCCTGCTTGTGCAGGGGGTTGGACTAGAAGACCACCAAGGTCCCTTCCAACTCTATTATTCTATGGTATATGTTCCTCCTTCGGCTTATAATCTAGATAGATCAAAAGCATCGTGTTGTAAGGAAATACTGAAGAAAGTACAGGAACCTCTGGTCTTCCCACGTGCTGCAGTGAAGTATTGGCCCTTGAATTTCTGCCAGGGCATCCAGCATGTTGGCTGCCTCTCCTTGCTTGAACTAGTGGGAGGCATTAAGAGAAATATCCTTGCTCTTCTTGTTTCTTGTTTTCAAGAAAAGCATTCAGTCATAGAGTTTAACCTGAAAATACCAAAAATCACCCGTAAAGCAATATATCAGGATTTTTCCTACTGTATCTTTATGGAATTGTCCACAATACACATGCAATTTGGTGAGAGATAAAGGAAGACTTTTAAAAAAGATACTGTAATAATGCATTTTATCAGAAGCTGTGGAAATGTGGAAGATGAAACACAATATTTGAAATATGCTGAATGCACACAGTATTATCTATGACGTTATTTGAATGCAAAACATATAAGCCATAGACAACACTTGTAACTTGTTCTGAGTTGTTTGTACATATTTTTCATAATGTTCACAATGCAAACAGTCATTTTTACTTATTACTTTTATTCAATTTGCACTAAGTACCCTGTTTCCCTGAAAATAAGACCTCCACAGATAATAAGCCCAATCGGGCTTTTGAGCTCATGTACTAAAATAAGCCCTCCCCAAAAATATTGCAACACAGCAGCAGCCAGGAGGTGACCACACTTGCCGCCTCCTGCACCTCACAAATAATAAGAAAAATGTGGACCACAGATGTGTTTGCCTGTAGCAAATAATATTAAGTGACTTGACCAACATCTTCCAAGATTAAGTTTACCTGAAGGGTCAAATCCATGACTAACAAGTGGAAGCTACCATAAATCTTAGAACCTGTAGGAGGAGAAGAGTGACCCGTCACCATGAATCACAAATAGTTACACACAAACACCTTTAGTTGCCATGATTTGTGCTGGGGATGGCCATCACCAGATTTGAACAGGCTTCTATTTGATCTTCATCAGGCAGCCTTCTGACTGGCAAGTCTGGTCTCATTACTGCTCCTTTCTGTGGTGAACAGATGGAGCAAGTTTGTCACAGAAGCTCCCAAGTGCAAAACCAGAAGAAACACAGGTCCAAAATACAATGCATAGTTGCGGTAATCGCCATGTCTCCCGTCATCCAGAAAAAGCGGTGCCGTTAACGAAAAATCAAGAGTGAACAAGGAGAAAGACATTAGCAAAATTAGGCAGTATCAGCAAGCAGGTTCATTGTTGAGGCAAGGCCACACATGCTAACCGCTTTTACCCCTTAGAGGCACAGCTGTGGCTCAGATACTGGAAGAAAGAATTTGCTGGCCTGCTTTTCCTGCTGAAAGTGAAAGTAATGAAGAAATGTCAAAATGCAAGCATACCACAGTTGGGAAACATCTAGTAGCAGTTTTTTCTAATGGTTAAAAAAAAAAAAAGATTAGTAAGCTACAAATGACTTGTGTAGCCCAGCTCCTGGGATAGAATAAGTATTTTTCTTCTTGAGTCTGGATAATTATTTCAGATGGCATCAATTTGCAGTGGGAAAAAACCCTCTAATGTTGTTGCCCTTTTACTTAGCTGAATTGACAATACTGATTTTAATCAAGATGAGCAGGAATGCTTGTAGAAAGGGTGCATTACATAGTGAGGAGCACTGAGGTCCTACAGTCTGGCTTCATGTTGGCTTCATATGTTGTATTCTTTCAGTCCTTCCACCTTCTGTGAGCATCCGAGGAGGCCAGCTGGATCGAGGCATTTAATTTTGAGTTTGTTTGACATAGTTGTTCATACAATGGCTTGAAGAAGACCGCAAGCAGAGCTAGAAGTCATAGATCTCTGTGGAAACATTCAGAACAAGCTACCAACCCTCTTCGATTGTGCAGGCCCTCCCTACTGTAAATCTCTGCGGTAATCCCTCAATGCCAATAATTTATTTTACTCTAATCACAGGGGTCTATAATTTTTCATTGCACTTTTAATAATTCCCACTGACCCAAAATTTCACTTCTGAAATTCAGTGGCACATTGCTAATTTTCATTGACCAGGGTTTCCTCCCCCGCCCCCGCTTTTATACATGAGATGCCCAAGCTAGATAGCTGTCATCCAACTGTTCTGAATTTATAATAAAAAGGAACAGACTTTCCAGGTTTCAAAAAAAAATCCCTAGAAATTCAAATCCCAGTGTTTCCACTGGTATTAGACACTACACCACTGTTACAATGTTTGCAGAAGAAAATAACAGCTGGAATATATAGTATATTTCCAAGAACTGGGAAATTGCTTTTTGCTTCTCCCAAATAAACTGGGGGAGCCCTTATTGCAACTTGCCATTAGACTATATTTGATAAGGCTCAATTTGTATATCTTGAAAGTTCTCCATTAGCCTATGTATGTAATTAGATAAAAATCTGGCTTGGACATTGGCCTCAATTCCACACACACACCCCTTGTCCCCCACCCCCCACCCCCCAATCTGCCTGAAGGGTTCTTGACACTTTTACAGAAATTTTGTACAACTTTATTTGGCTTAAATATATATACGTTGCTTCAATGAATGGAATTTTATTCAAGGTAAGCCCCCCCTCGCCTAGCCTTCATATCTATCCACCCATCTGACCCTGCCTTGCCAGAGCCAACAAGTTAGGAAAAACAAACACTTACAATCAGAAGAGGCCACAGTCCTTCAGATTTTCCTTGATGATGATGTCAGTGACAGCATCAAAGACAAACTTGACATTTTCTGTGTCTGTGGCACAGGTCATATGTGAGTAGATTTCCTTCACATCCCTTCTTATATTCAATTCCAGGAATTGGACTTTGATATAGGCACCTGCATCTTCATATGTATTGGTCCCTGCAGAGAGGTGGTAATAAAAGAATAGCTTCACCTATAGAGTAACACAAGCCCTCCTGGCTCAGAATAGTGTTCATTTGTCCAGAATGAGCCAAAACTTCATATTGAGGAAATGATACCTATCTATACTAAGCAGAATCTTAGTGCACTGAACATTGCAGTTGTTAAGAAGTGTTCGGTATTCATTGTTGAATGATCAGCTACATTGTACAGAGCTTCCCTCCCAGGGAATAATCAAATCCTGCCTATTTTACTGAACGTCACCCACTTATATCACTTATCTCTGAATGTTTGAAAAGTAGGCAGTCTGGAACTAAGCACATGGGGCCTCTATTGCCCTTTCAGTGATTGAAATCTCTCTCAACACCGTTTCCTAAAAGGTAATTTTTTGAGAAGTTCTGTTGGGTGAATTGCCCAACACACTCTTAGCAGCTTTGCACTCCCCATTATGTTGTATTTCCTTCCAGTATTGGAACAACTGAGAAGAAGGCATCTCTGCAACCATAACATGGGTGCGTGCTCTTAAACATGGTTACATTTACAGTGTAAAACAACAAATAGTGAACACACAAATGTATTCCTAGAAGAAACAGCGGATAATAACATCATTCTGGTTTACATGGCAGAAAAGTATGCCCTATTTCACAGAGGACTGAGGCCCTCTAGTGTTTATTTTTCAAAACAAATGTCTTGTAATAAAGTAATGATCATGAGCGGCAGCAAGGGAAATAGAAGATAACTTGCTTTTTAAGAGTAGCTGGAGTTCAGGGCAGCTTTTACTCCCCCACAGGGAGAACTTGTGCACATAAAGATGGAAGAAGGAGACCATGGTTGATGATGTTAAAAATTCATTTTTATTGCTGATTTCTTTCCTGGTAGTGTAACGTGATAGTTTTCTATCTGGCTTTATCTAAATCAGCCTTCCCTAAATTGGCAT